GTCATGACGTCGAACACGATGTCATTTTCGACTTCCATTATCTGACGCACTCTATCATTACGGACCCGATCTCTCCTAGAAATTCCTGCTGACCTTCTCCAGAAATCCATCTCCGTTGCTCTTAGCATATCCTGTGTCCGTTTCTTCAGCTGCCAAACTTCACATCCGTATGTTAATATACTTTTGACTACAGCGTTGTATATCCTCCTCTATGTTTAAAATACTAGTGGAATATTAAAAGATTCAGAAAGTAAGAGAACATTCTATCTGTTTTTCCAAGTTTACGATCCAAAAATGAATCATTGAAGATCTGCGCTAAGAGAAAAATTCACCCAAAAGTTTGGTATACATTGAAAGGCTAAAATTACGTAACTCAAGCATACAGTAGATTCCATAGTTTCCCGTTCTTCTCATTTTTGTTTTGTACTAAATTCAATGCAAACTTTACCCATATTGACACAATATTGAGGACACCGCACCAAGAACAGCCTATAACTGGTAACCACGTTTTGAGAAAAACGTATTTAAAGGTTTGTTTTTTATGTACTGCGCAGACTTTTCTATGCAAGTACCCTGTTTTGGTGTTTTTGGGTGACCTAACCCTTCTATTGAAGGATGCCGGGTAGATTTTACGATACATTTTGGGTTTATACTCTCATATATTTAATTTAAAAAAGCGGTTTATAGGTCATTATTACGCCCAACAGTCATTTTGGTGGCAATATGAAGTATAAATCATTTTAATCACGCATGATTAACGCAAAATGAAAAAATATCGATAGTGAGTAAAGGAAGGGGTATCCAGCACTTTATAGGCCCTTAAGTTTATAAGCCCGTTTAGGTCGTTCTTGCACCCATCGATCCAGAGGCCTGACTTAACTCGGAAAATAAAGGTTTATCGACCCTGAGCCGTCACCTATCTATATTCTATCGCTACCAAAGCATAGTCCAGGGTACGTAGAATCCAAAAATCAGAGGGGCGAAGTAACGACCTATACGCCTATACGCTGTTCTTGGTGCGGTGTCCTCAATTGTAATCTTCCGTTACATTCTTACGGCGCAAAGATACAACTATTTGAACACTCCGGAATGCGTGAGGTATCACGCCGCATTTGAAGGCGTTTTCAAAAGAGCCAAGTTCCGATACCCGGCCGGATTATCGTTTTGCAAAGTTCTTATTATTATGTTTTATTTCCTACCATTTGTTTGTTTTCAATCCTCCTATAAAAACCACTTATTTCCTGAATACACTTCTGGCTGAAGCGCATTTTAGCTATGCATTCACGACTACTAAAATGTCAAAGGAAATCGACAAGACCAGCGTGTATGAAGGCTATTTCAATTGTAATCTTCCGTCACATTCTTACGGCGCAATGATACAACTATTTGAACTCTCCGGAAACCGTGAGGTATCACGCCGCATTTGAAGGCGTTTTCAAGACAGCCAAGTTCCGATACCCGGATTATCGTTCATATTCTTTTGTTTTGTTCCGTACCACTTGTTTTTTTTAAATCCTCGAATAAAAACCACCCATTTGCTAAATACAATTCTAGCTAGAGCACACTTCAGCTATGGAGGCTATTTCAATTGAGGACACCGCACCAAGAACAACCGCAACCGTTGAGAAAAACGTATTTAAAGTTTTGTTTTGGATGTACTGCGTAGTCTTTTCTATGCAGGTACCCTGTTTTGGTGTTTTTGAGTGACCTAACCCTTCTATTGAAGGATGCCGGGTAGATTTTGCGATAATTTTGGGTTTATACTCTCATATATTTAATTTAAAAAAGCGGTTTATATGTCATTATTACGCCCAACAGTCATTTTGGTGGTTCTTGCACCCATCGATCCAGAGGCCTGACTTAACTCGGAAAAAAAAAGGTTTTCGACCTCGAGCCGTTACCTATCTATATTCTATCGCTACCACAGCATAGTCCAGGGTACGTAAAATCCGAAAAGCAGATGGGCGTAATAACGACCTATACGCCTTAGGCTGTTCTTGGTGCGGTGTCCTCAATCGGGTTGGCTAGTGTTTTTTTCAAAAATTAATCGAACGTAAAACCAAAATACAAACTTTACGTGAAGGCGGAGCCTCTAACAGAATGTACGTTTGTGAGTATCTTAAGCAGAATGGTTTAAAATTCGAAAAAAATAAAATGCTAAAATTATTAAAATGGTTGGTGAAACCTCATTGACTTCGATTACTTATAGTAATTATTACTCCTCACATATTTTATCGGCCCAATATAGAAGTACAATCAAAGAGATTTATTCACGAGGGAAAATTTTCAATGAACTTATTTAAATGTGATGGAGTCAGGTTAAATGGGACTTAAAAGAGGAGATAATTTTTTTCAGTGTAGCAAAAAAACCGAGTTGGGATAAGAAAATATATTTTTTCATTTATCAATATTAAAAGATTTCTAATACTTTAGAAAACCTCTATCAAAATTTAAGTCATAATTTGTTTTTAAACCTAGAGTGCTCCCAACCCCCGGGGCGCCGCGCGCCCCCTAAGGCCCGCTTCGTGACCAGCAAAATCGTCGAGATCGCCCTTTGGCGGTTTATGAGCAAATTATTTTAATTGAACAACAAAACGATGTTTCAAAGAAAAATGTCCCGCCAAACAATATTCTTAATGCCTTCCATATTTCCGTAGTAATCCATGCGTACTGACGGACTATAACTTTTATTTCCCTTAAATTCACGATTTATCGTCCTCAAACTTAAAAACGCTCTCAGAAGGTCATTTTTTCTAAAAGAAAATTTGGTGTATTTTTTGCACACATTTTGAATGACCAAGACAGGCCGTTTTAAGCAGCGGTCTGATTATGCCCTTTCATAAAAGCTGTAGTCCCATTTTGCCCAATATTTTCACAATTCGTCGTCCCTAGGACGAAAGAGCCTCTACTCCAAAGTTGCCAAATGAACCCCAAAAATTAAATTATTCGAAAAAATGTATCTGAGCAATTTTTATCTAAAATTTTCTGATTTTTCCATTAAATCTGAGAAAAAATCAGTGAAATTTTCACTCAGAAATGCTTAAGATTTTCCTGGATAACATGCAATTTGCGTGGGAAATTTGGCAACATTTAAATGGATATATGTTCTTTCCTGAGGGAAAAGACGAGATGAAGCCCCAGGGTACTAGGAAGCGTGAGTCAAATTGATACCCGGTTCTCGAAGAACATCTCAACAAGTTTTCCTCCTATTTTTGTTTTTAAAAATGAATGCATGAAGCAAACATTCGGAAGCTCAGAAGATTTGCCATGGCTGTCCAACGATAAGCCTACCGGCTTGAGACGCCAACGTGACCGAACCGGCATTCATTTTGAAGTTCAAGGCTGTGAGTTTTAATCCTTCTCTCGCCTCCAACCAGCTTTTACGGCATTTAATATTCATATTTCCAGCTCAGGCCGGGCAATCGGAAAGATTTTAGAGATAGCTGAGGAGTGGAGACCAACGATTTTAGTCACAGCCCACGCGACGAGGAGAATTTTTGATTATCGAGTCCTAGATGCCTCTATCGAACTCATAACTCGAAAGTGACAATGCAGTTTTTATGTCACGTTTTATTTGTTCAAAAGATAGTTGATTAGCCTATTAATATTATTTTTATGTCATGTATATTTAACAGTAAATTCTGTTTAATTTTTTCCCCTTTAAAATTACTTGCAAAAATGTCAAATGTACAGAAAAAAGTGTGATAACGTCAACTATACACCAGTGAAAAAAGTCTCTTGGATCTAGAGTGCGGATAATAAAAAATTTGACAAGAAAAAATAGCTTCAACTGCATTTTTGCTTAAGAATCAAAAGGAATTTATGCAGAGGCTTGGTTCTCGATTCAATAAAAAATCCAATTTCATCAAGAGTAATTTTTAGGGTCAATTTTTTTAAGAGTCCAGACTCTGGGTCTATGAGACTTTATTCCCCGAAGTGTTCTTAATTGACTGTGACGCCAGGCAAAAGTGTGGTTGCACCAGCCAGTGGTACGGTTAAGTCAGCCAGAAATGTGATTGAATCAACCATAGCTTTGGTTGATGCAAAAACGCCTCAGGCTGTCGACAAAATTAGCTACGAACATCGCTGATATTATCATGCATTTTTCCGTGTAAAGCTTAGATACATTACAGTACTCAAGGCACTGTGATCGTTTTTGCAACAATTCTTAAAGAAATTAAATACATTAAAATAAATAAACAAATAAAAAAAAACTTAATCAGAATCCTTCAGATTGCATTTCTGAAAAATGTCAATGCATACTTTTAATGGTTGCCATCAGCCAAAGGTATGTGAAAAGAAATTCTGTTTATGCTTTCCTTTTTTGCGCCGCATAGTAGATCGAGTCAATTAGAGAGGTCGAACATGACATTTTTAACTAAAATTGCAAATTATTATGTTTAATTACTGAAATTTTAAAGTTTAAGGGGTGCCTCTAAAAGAACATTTCACTGAGAAATCAACGGAACCGTTTTTAAAACCTCAAAGTTTTGAATGAAAGGAGTTAAAAGCTTTCAATGTTTCCAAATTTTGTCCGACCTCTTCCATTGACTCGATCCACTGTGTGCCGGTGAAGTGTTTTCTTGCGGAAAAATGCTTACTTTTTCTCTCCTAACTCACCGCTAACCTGTTCGACTGAATTTAAACAACGAGTCCTACATTGAAAGGCTTCAAAAGTAAAGATAAAGCACCTAGTGTTGCTGATAATTATTTTATGTCGATTGCTGTGCCTCTTTAAAATCGCATAATGTGCTGTAAATTTGGAGAATGATGCAAATTGTAAAAATTAAATGAAATATGTTCTTAAAAATTTTCACGCATCTACAAGAAAAGCAACCCACATCAACAAAAAACCATTAATTTGCTCCCGTGGATAGTCTCGGTCCTATACTCGAGTCGTTTAGATTTTTTTTGAGGGTCATTTCTTATGATTTCAACCTCTCTAGTCTTCTAAATAAAAGGAATAAAAAACTTTGCATTTGATGATAAAACGAAGAACATTAGGCTGCTAGATGCGGTGTATTTTCCTACAAAATTGGAACAGAATGACTAAGAATTGAAAGAATATTCTACTAAAAATATAATTTAATCCCGTCAAGAAGAGGAAAATAATTTAACAAGCATCACACACTTACCAAACTAATGGCAACAAGAAGCTAAATTGTTATTCGCTGTCTGCCACGTCTATTCTCATGAATTCGTTATATTGGTCATCGCCCTTTAGAACGCATGTAAAAAAATCGACGTATGTCAAAGTGGGCTATCTCATTTAGAATAAATTATTTATCTGGATAACAGGGTTAAATTGAATTTTGAATGGTAATAATATCTCCAACGTGCAAGATTCACCATCGACAATTTTTAGGACAACTTACAAACTATATCACAGAATTTAAAGGTACCATTATAGAGCTACTTTACATACTTTTCTATGGGGTCACGTAAGGCACAAAATCTATTTTAATATAGTTTCGACTTACCAGCTCATGTAACGAAGCAGCCATTATAGAAAATTAGTACAATCCTCATTGAAAAACCTCGAGGGAGGGATAAAAACATTATAGCTAACTCGCCAACAGTCTTACGTCAAATGTACACTGTAGACAAGCAAACGTTGAGCAATCAAACAAAACATGCTTGGCCCTTTGTCCTTTTTTACGCCTTCAAAACAAGTCCCCGTTTCTAAAATAATGTTTGAAACGCGGCACTCTTGGCGGCAGGGAAATATAAAACAAATGACGCGACCACCAATTGTGAAAAAATATCCGATTCGATAGCATTTCTCCCGGTTCAAAGGACAACTCATCCATTGGCGCTAGGTCCTAAAGAAACAGCAGATCCAGGCGAATTTCTCTCCGGAACATTGAGTCGAACTCCTTGCCCTCGTGCACTGGTCCCTACATCTGTAGATCCGGTTGAATCTCTCTCCGGACCATGGAGCTGAAGCCCTTGTCCTGGTCCCTGGCTCTGGAAATCCGACCGGAACCATGAAATCGAAGCCCTCACCTCTGGAAATCCAGTTGGATCTCTCTCTGGACCATGGGGTTGAAGCCCTTGCCCTGGACCCTAGCTCTAAGAATCCGGCCGGAACCATGGAGTCGAAACCCTCGATTTGGTCCCTAGTTCTGGAGATCCGGCCGGATCTCTCTCCGGACCATAGAGTCGAAGCCCTCATCTTGGTCCTTAGTTCTGGAGATCCGGCCGGATCTCTCTCCGGACCAGGGACTTGAAGCGCTTGCCTTGGTCCCTAGATGGCCCCGACTGGCGGCGGTGGGAACTCCTGTCCCTGGCGGGCGGGTGTCTCTTGCGGGGCGTCGTCCTTGATCCGGACCGGAATTGGGGGTGGCGGGACGTCCGGGACGCTTGGGTTCCGGTTCCGGTTGTTGCGGATGTCCCCGAATCGCTCCTGCTTCGCTTTCCCGCGCGGCCCAGGCGAGTCCTCGGCCGACATCGAGTTGGACAGGCTCTGGTTCAGCGTCAACAGGCTGCTGATCAGGTCGTTGTACACTCCTGCAACAAAGGCGAGTACGTAATTAAACATTCTTATGTTCATGATAACTTTCGGGTACTTTCAGGTACTTTTTAGTTCGGTTAGATCAACCAGAAGAACTTGGTTGTTCGACCAAAAGTTTTGATTAATTCGTACCGTATTTTTTTTTTCTTTTTAATAAAGCTGGGAATTTTGTTCGAAGGTCAGGGAAAGTTAGAGAATTAAAAAAAATTGGATCGAGGAGAAGTCAGGAAATGTGAACTTACGGAAATTAAGACAACCCTGCAGTAATGTTACGGACATGCTTAAAAATATTGCGCCTGCACGGAAAAAAAGTATCACATCCCAATTACACCCCTGGCTGATTTTGGCGCAACCAGATATAAGAGTAGTTGTACCAGTCAGAGGCACGGTTGAATCTGCGGAAGTGTGGTTGGATCAACCATACCCATACCTCTGGCTTGTGAAACTCTTCTCATATTTTGCGCCAAAATCAGCAAGGAGTATATATGTAGAGTACCTGTATAGGGAGAGTACCGACAGATCGGTTCATGGAGGGCTTAGGGCCCAAAAGTGCAGCCACCCTTCTAACCAACTTCTAACGCACAAAATTTCACTGCCAGTTTGCAGATTCCAATTCTAACCAAGATGGCCAAGAATGTACAGAAATGAGCGTTCTTCCGCGAAATTGAGTAAATTTATGCAAAAACTGAGTCAAACACGTGCTTAATAAATGACGGTTCGTAACAATAGTATCAGTAAATCGCTCTGGATAATTGAAATTCATAGGTTGGCTGCCCTAACTTTATTCGTGGAGGCATCGGTGAAGGCCTGATGGACTTTCGGAGTTTCAGACCTGTCGATACTCTCCCTATACAGGCACTCTATATATATGTAGTTGAGATTGTGATGCTTTTTTTCAGTACGATGGCGCAAGCGATCTGACGTCGCGCGCTGCCTATGGAAACGCGGCTTGACATGGGTCCTACCTTTGCGGTCGTAGCTGAGGACCTGGGGGTCCTGCTCAAAGTGGCTCTGGTAGGACTCCTGCGGGGGGATGACGACGGGCTCGTGGGTGGCGACGTTGACGATGGGGGCGTAGGGGAAGTAAGGGCTCGGGGCGATTGACTTGACGATGGGGGACACGGCCTTGTAGGCCAGGCTCGGGATCAGCTCCTCGTCCGACGAAATGAGCGTGTTGTAGATCTTGGGCACTCGCAGGAGACGCCCCGCCTGTTGTCCGAAGCTCAGCGCCAGCGTCGCTCCCATCATCAGCAACGGGATCGTCTACGCAAGAAAACCATCATAATCTCTTTAGTCATTACGGAGAAAAAATCTTGCTGATTGTAATTAAATGCTATATTATTGCTAATAAAAATTTTATCAGTAAAATGCTTGTCACACTACTCCTGCTAAGCAGGGTGGCATGAAACGTAAGAAAGAAACGAAATATTGGAAATTTCAGTGAAATATTTCATAAAATTTTACGAGGCTGTGAAATACTTTATATTCTTCCGGGGCTAGAGTAGGCACCCCGCACACAAAAATCGAAGAAAGTCACAATTTTGCGAAACATGAAAAGGAACCGGTATTTTTCAATATATTTCAAACATTTCTGTAATTTCAAGAAATGTTGTAAGTGAAATTGCAAGACTTTATTTTTCATGAAATATTGCCACCCTGCTGCGAAGTATTGCTCAGTACGTGCAAGATATCGGAGGAAATCGGGGTTACGCACATTGCTATTTCGCCTTCAATTTTCGAGATAGGCCAGAAAACATCCTCTGTGCAGCAATAACCAACTCGAGGATTTGTGTCTTGTGTCGCTTGTCTCTCAGTAAATTACGTCTAACTCTAATTGATGTGGTTTTTTTTTAAATTATCTACATCCGAAATTAAAAAAATAATGTCAAAATAATCATTCATTGCAAAATGTCACGAGGGAAGCAGTGCTACCTCAGTGTAGGTTTAGAAAACGCCACACACTGGAGCGAGTCAGAAGGAAGAGTCGGACAAAATCTGGAAACTTTAAAAGCTCATATTTTCCAAAATATTGAACCAGAAAATTTAGGAGTGGTTTCATTTTTTTTTTTTTTTTTTTTTTTTTTTTTTTTTTTTTTTTTTTTTTTTTTTTTTTCCCATGAAAAATTCCCTTTCAGAAACACCCCTTGAAATCGAATCACTGACAAAATAAACATCCAAATTTGAAATGTTAGCCAACAATTTCATGTGCGACCTCTTCTGTTAGCTCGTTCCGCACTGTGCGCCACTGACAAACCTGCCAAAAGAGCGCGAAAACGTCACGGAGTCAAGGAGACTGAATTTTTTCTTTCGCATTAATCGTTTCGTTATTTCGGACGCCATGCAAAAGTTAACCAATTAGTGATGATGGAGAAAAGGGGCCCTTACATGCGCCGAGAAAGTTTTCTGTCCACTTTTGAAAAGAGAGGTGGACGTCAACGGTGGACGCTATCTCGTCGTCGCGGAAAGTTTTAAAACTCAACTTAAGAAAGTGAACTTTTTAGAGCTTATGATAACTTTCGTGGCGGATAAGTTTGCGGACGGCATTGGCATGGACAAAGTTGCCAAGCCTCTATAGTTCTTGATCGCGTAACTGAACTGCATTTTACAATACGAAATGAGCCTGTTGCAAACTTTAGCTGAAGGGAAAAATAGAGTTATCCCGCATAGAAAATGGCTCAGAATCACGATAAGAGCATCGAAAAAGTCTAAAATTACTCCAAACTTTAAGAATCAGAGTAAAAAATAAGCATTTTTTGAGATTCTCACTTCAAAAACGATACCCTGGCGCAGGTGAACATTTCATTAGAGGAGTCGCTCTATTTAACCAGGCTGGCAAAATAAAATCTTGAAATTTCGCGTGAAATATTTCATGAAATTTTAGAAATTCATGAAAGCTTAAAACAACGCATATTTCTTGTGCAGGTTGTGAAGTTAGCAGCGTATTTGAAACTTTCTCGATGCGCTCATCGTGATTTTTGAACCATTTAAATACAAAAAATTCTTGTTTTTCCTCTGGCTTAAGTTTGCAACATATCCATTATTATCTTTGGCTCTTTTCAGAGACAATGCATGTGTCATCAGTGGCGAGGCGTGAATGATCGATTAAATATATGTTTTCCCATTTGAAGCTATTGTAAAGGATCGATTATTAAGGTGTTCGTTGCGAACACTCTGTGTGTCGATCATTCTTCATGGGTTTAAATGACAGATCAATCTATATATTGCAAAGCACGCCGCGCCACTGTGTGTCATTAGTGTCCCTGTGTAGATAAGTACCTTCATTGATGAGCCAGAAGAATAATTCCTCATTGCAAAATGCGGTATCACTATAACTTAAAGCCCGCACGCAAAAACCGTTAAAATAGACCAACATGTTTGCCAACATTAGAGTTCAAGATACGTCATTTGAAACTGTGACGATGCAAGTACCTAAGACTACATCTATAGACCAGGACCTTAAACTATTTGTCACCATAGAAGTAACAAATATAATTAATCACGGCTACACGCACAGAGAGAAAACTGAACACAAAATTTCGGTTAATATGGGAAGGAAAACACCAAATAACTCAAGCCTTCGACCAACTCTGGTGTTTCCCAGTCGCTCCTCTGTTTTGTGCGCTGAATTCACCACAAAATTGGTACCAAAATCAACTCAAAATTGAACCGATTATTTTCCAAATCACGTAAGCGCCAAAATTGCGAATGCGAAAGAAACAAGAATTACCGTTTTACTCGCTTTTCTGCCTATCTTCGAATTCCTAAAAATGTATGTTCTTTTAGATGGCTATTTTAAAATCTGACTAGAGAAAACAACCCCTCTACCACTAAAACAGAGATTGACGTTCACGTGATTAAGAAAATAATCGGTTCAATTTAGGTTGTCTTGTGTATCACTTCCTGTATCAATCAAAAGTAACACAAGAACACGGATATTTTTATCAGTGTAGGAAGTGGGTTGGACCTCGAATCCGTAATGAGTATTTAGAGAATAACGATCTTTTTCCCCAGTTTCCGGTTCAAGAATACAATTTCAAGATTTAGTGTTTGTTTCTTCCTTCATCTCGTCGAATCCTCCTTAATTTGGAACTCCGTGCCTGACCGCATTCGCACAATCCGACTTTTCAATGCAGAACACTCATATTTTGTGAATCGTTTCTGCGGGTCGATTGTTGAACCGTTAACGAACCTGATCGATAAATCCCTATCTTAGCAATGCTTCTTATCGATCAAGGTCATTCGATATAGATTCAACAATCGAGTGATTCATTTCGATTGATACCGAGTTCTTGACATTCATGGATCTTGCGAGCTCATTTCCGTTGCTTATTGTGTTGTTGTGACGCCCGCGAGAGGTCAGCGTATGCCCGCTTTGACCGCGTAAATCTCTTGTTTTATTAATGTCACATGAGCAGATGCTGCGGGCGCTGACATCGATAATCGGGACCATGTCGATGCAACTTGGAACGAGACCAGTGGCGCACAGTAGATCGAGTCAATAGGAGAGGTCGTACAAAATTTGGAAATTTTAAACGCTTACAACTCCCTTTATACTAGACTTTGAGGTTCTGAGTGCGGCTCCATTGATTTTCTCGTGAAATTTTCTTTTAGAAACACCCCTATTTACTTGAAATGTGACGAGATCATCAAAATTCGCAGTTTTAGTCAAAAATTTCATGTTCGACCTCTCTAACTGACTCAATCCACTGTGTAGCGTGGCGTGCTTTGCGATGTATCGATTGATCTGTCATTTGAACTTATGTAAACGGATCGATAAATAGGGTTTTTGCAACTATAAACATGACTTCAGATTAATCGATTCTTTACCGTAGCTTCAAATGGGGAAATATCGATAATCGATAACTGATAAAACCACGCGTTTGCGTTTCTCACCGCAATTTGGCACCGCCTGAATTTTCGCACGACCTTCTTTCCAGAGCACGGCAGTCTTACCGTTTAAAGCAAGAACGCTGTAACTCCTTTCTAGATTTCCTCCATTTGCCTTTGACAACAATTTCTATCGCAAACCAGGGAGTGCCTGCCCTTCATATTTGGAAATTGACCATAACGCACCATTCAGAACTCGTAGTGAAAATCAGAGTTTCTTGAATTAAGCGTTTTGTGTCGAAGAAACATACAGAAACTGTGATAGAGTTACAGCGTTTCTGCCTTAGAGTGCCTTGCTAAGGAAGAACGCCGTATGAACATTCGAGAGTTGCCACATTTCCTCCAATAAAATGTTTATTTTTGAGGAATGTTATGAATATTTTTCCTTGAAGTTTTCAGAGACTTTGGATCAAATTACAAACAAAATTATCTGAGAAATTGGAAGAAAAATATTCACAAATTTTCCTGAAAATTAGTCATTTATCTAAGGAAATTTGTCAACGCCTGACGGCTCGTACGGAGTTTTTCCTTTGCACGGCAGTAGACGTCAGATTAACGCGCCTTACGAAGCCAATGCAAATGAAGTCAATCACTAGCGAAACGTTTCTATAAATAAATCAGGTGAGAGGTTCGATCGTTGAAATCAATCAAAGTCGATCTCGAGAAAAGTGGCACTTCGGAGCTTAGAGACATGCCCTGATACTTAGACCTAGGCGTTGGCAAAATTTCTCTCTTCCATTTCGGCTTCTTTTTGGTCATTTTTTGTACATACTCGCCTGGCACCATGCTTAAATTGCTTGTTTGATAAGTGATCGGAGGGAGGGATGTGTATTCTATTTTTGAGTTAATAGGACATCGAATTATTGTATTCGTTGAAGGAGCCATCGCAGCTTACACAGGATACAAAAATGAATCGTGAAAACGTCTGCTCAGAATAATTTATTCGCGGCGGAATTAAATATTCACAGTATTTGCCGGTTTAGATTGGTAAAATCGTGTGAAACTTGGAAGGAATATCGATTTTTTATCGAGGAAAATTATAAGCGACGGAAAAGTAGCCTCGGCAATCAGCAGGGTGCTTCATTTGCACGTGCAACGTTGGTGGTTATTTTTAGGAAAGATGAAATCTTATTTATTTTTTCAGGCAATTTTTTGTAGCGGTAGTGAAATAGTATCATCATGACCCCGTCGCTTCAAAATGCCTTCGGTTTTTGAAAGTTTTTATTTTTTTATTTATTTTTTTTTAAATCTAAATTTAAATGTATAAGATAAACGAAACTCATACAAACGTCCATTACAAATAAGGATTAGCTTATCTTTAATTAATTGAAATTTAACGAGAAGTCTGCAACTTTACATACATAGATTCGCGTTTA